AAGTGCCCCCAGTCAGTAACTGGGAGGAGCTGGGAGGTTGTTTCTCCTGGCTGGGCCACTCTCCATATGACCTGCCAGAGGAGGGAAAAATACAGTTCCCTGACTTACGCAGGGACCTCTCCCTTCTGGATGCTCCCAGATGGAAACACGGACGAAGACCAGCCTTGCTGCCATGGCAACAGCAAAACAATCATTTCTGATTTCACCTCCTGAGTAAAGACCAGGTGGGAAGCTGCCTAGCAACAGTGGTGGGCACAGAACCCCTCCCCGGGCGCTCAGGATCCCCCTCCCGTCATCATCTCTGTCCCGGTGGGGATCCCAGCTTCCCTGCTTCTCCTTCCGGTGGAGAATTACAGTCATCAACACCTAGACAGCCTTTCCCAGCTGGGACTGGGATTCACGCAGCCCTCAGTCATGTGGGATTGTTAGCCCCGCTGGACAGAAGGCACTGAGGTAAAGAGCCGAGGGGGTGCGCCAGCCCAGGCCCCTCCCCCTGCACTGCCCTGGCGCTCCCCAGGCTAGGTCTGCGTGTTTGTATAGTTCTGCTCTCATTCACCTGTCACACAAAGGAATGAACGATCCCCTCTATCTCTGTCCCCCACCAGTTCTACAGAGAAGGGTTCTCTGTTCTGGCTCAAGAGAAGACCTTGAGAGGGGTCATTTGGTGTCTGTGAGAGCCAAGACAGTGAGGAGGGACCGGTCCCGAGGGGTGCCGTGAGGCGACTGGGTGATGGTGTTTCCCTTCAAATGCTGTCTCTGAACTTTAACGCTAGCATTAATACGGAGGCTAGATCTTGCACACACTTACTTGGTTGGGTGGGTGCCAACCTTTGTGCCAAGTGCTTTGTGGGCGCCGTCCTGTGTAGGCCTCGTGATCAGAGGGCTGGGTCCTTACTCTTGTTCTATGGAGGGGTACAGCCTGAGAAGTCAGCGCTGGAGGGGGCAAAGCAGTATGTGGCAAAGCCACCTGGGACTCACTCTCCCAGGCTCAGTTCTTAATAGATATTAGCAGCACCCCCAGAGACTTTCTCCTCCTCACCCCCGACCCACCCCCGCCCCCCCAGGCTGGCTGGGAAGATTAAAAGGGAGAGCAGAGTTGCTGGCAGAGTGGAGCAGCCTCCTGCAATCATTTCCTGGCCCTGGGCCAAAGGCTGCAGGCAGACCTGTTGGGGGAAGAGGTGCTGGTGTCTGCACGTGGAGCAAGGGGTGGGGGGTAGGGCACCTCCTAGGGATGGCGCCCAGATCTCCAGGGCTCAGACTCAAGGGAGGAAGGAAAGGGAAGCCTGGTTCTTAGGTGCTGACTCTATGCATATGCTGGGCATGGCACTCACAGGTGGCATTTCATTTATGCCCAGAATGACACAAAGAGATAATAACCGCTAGCACGCACGTATGCCAAGCTCTCTTGCACGTTTAGCTCTGACTCACTTAATCCTCACAGAAACATGCCAGGTAGAAACTAAGCACCGTTGCTTTGCACATGGGAAAACGGAAGCATAAAGGAGAAACTGGCCCGAGGTCACATGGCTGAAAAAGATTTGACCTACGTCCTCTGGTCCCAGAGCCCACGAGCTGGGAGTCACGGAGGAGATGCTGGCAGAGCGCTGCCCCCATTTTCCAGAGGAGCGAGCTGATAAAAATGTTCTGGAGTGAAACAGTGGTGACGGCTGCACAATTCTGTGAACATACTAACACCGCTGAATTGTGCACTTTAAAATGGTGAATTTTGTGGTATGTGACTTATACTCACACACACGAAAAAGAGCTCAGACTTCCAGGGAGGTGGCTGTGGGAGAGGGACCGGCATCTCCTCTCTGCCCCCCCCAACATGAAGAATGCCTGTTATCAGAGGGATGGGTCCCCACTCTAGGGGATGCCTGTGGCATCACAACATACTTAGCAGCACCTCCTGGGTGGGCAGGCACCTTTGCCACTGCTCCCCATCAGCTGCTCCCTGGCAGCCTCTGGACCATGAGGGATGGCTCTAGTGCAGAGTCTTGCCCACAGCTGCCCAGGACAGAGCAGAGGAGCCGACTGCTTCCACCCACCTGGGAGAGCTTATTTTGTTCAGGGTATTTTTGCCTGGAATCCTGCACCCAACTGCACTCTTTCCTAGAAATGGCATCAGCCCACTTCCCCAAGGTGTCTGTGAAGGGCCCTGATGCCAGGAGTGGGCTGGACCAATGGGCCCCACACCCTCCCCGGATCTCTGTACCATCTGCATGAGGGGGTAGAGGGATGTTTCTGGGGAACCTCCTGGCTCCTGCATTCCAGGGTTCTCTGCCAGGAGCGGCCCATTCAGTAAAGTCCTGACTGCCTCACCAACCCGCTGCCCTCCAAATCACCATCCCACCGGCCACCGCTGCCACTCCCTAAGCACTAAGGGAGTGCTGCACCGAGTGCTTGCAGGGAGAGGGTCTCTCGCTGACTTCGCTCGCACCCCTGAGAGGCAGGTAGAAGTCTCTCCGTTTTACAGACAAAGAGACTCAGCTCAGAAAGGCTGAGCAGCTCGCCTGAGCTCAGCCTCCCAGGGAGCAGCAGAAGCAAGATCTCACCACTGCTGGTGCGGCCGGGTGAGCTGAATTCTTACATCAAGAATTTGGCGGTAGCAGCCCTCCACAGCCCCCACCAAGTCCCATCAGGCCCAGGCCGCCAACTAGTCAGCCTGTGACAGCTGACAACCAGGGTGAGACTCCCAGACTGGGCCCCAGACAGCCGGTCACTTCCGCGGAAGATCCCTGGGTCCCTGGTGGCCTATCTGGGGAATGACAGCTCGTGGCAGCTTGGGGACAGCAGCCGGCTCAGATGTCTCCTAGGGCTGCTGCCCAGTAGACAGGCAGTGACAGGCTGGTACAGCTGGCATCACCTGAGGTGGATCAGGCACCTGGGGACGCCCTGCCTGTACCCCACGTCCAGATCAGATCCTTCTTAAACATCTGGGGGCCTTCAGGATGGAGGTAAGAATACCAACATAGTACTGTGTGTCTAAATATTTAAGTTACAAAGTAAGCTAACCAGCTCTCTTAAATAAAATATGTTCTATCTTCTTACCTAGACACAATGGTCTGGGAGTCCAGGCTGCGAATTTAAATTCTGACTCAGGAGAGATGTGTTAGAAGGCAGTATGGCCTCCCAGCCTCTGCTAGCATCCCCACTCTGTGCTGGGGAGCCATGCATCCCCAGACACGTGTGGAGGCACCATCCACACCCGCCTCTCCCCACCCTGGCCGCTGGCCTTTGTCCTTGGGTTTGGAGGTGCACACACTCGCCACACACACTATGCACAGAAGCCTGGCAGGTCCTGAAAGTGTCTGGACCAATGGGACAGGAGACTCGGGCCTGTCGTGTGCAACATGCTCCCAAAGGAGCATCTCAGGTCACAGAGGTGTCTGAACTCCAGGGGCAGCCTTGGGGGTGCAGACAGCTTGGCGGTTAGCATCAGGAACTCCAGGCAAGTGCCAGGTCTGCATGTGCCTGCTGAGTGTGACCCAGCTAGCCCCTGCTTGGGCCCCATCTGCTCATCTGTAAAACAGGGGCGACAGTCTCTGCTGGTCGGCTGCAGTGGGGAGCACTGCAGTAAGGCCTGCAAAGAGGTTCGTGTCCTGTTTGCAGACCACTCAGTTCTGCAGAGATCACATCCCTAAGCAGCTCCCAGCACTGGGGTCCTCCACCACTGCGTCCTGGACAGGGTAGGTCATTTCCCAACTTGGTCCATGAAAACATCCGCACCCACGTGGACAGAGCTCCGGCCACCCCGCGAGTCCCCAGCACAGCACCTGGTTCAGAGCGAGCACCCGTGGATAGCTGGCACGCAGAGCCAGCGCGGAAGCTGGGGATTATTCACACGGGCTTCCCATCTGCTCGTGGGGTTCGTTCAAGCACTGCCCGCTCCTTCTGAGGGCCGGACTCGGTGCCAGGCTCTGAGGGTTGGGCGGCTTGCCAGGCCTCACAGAGTTCATGAGGGATTTGATGTGGAAATAGGAACAGATTACAACAGCGAGGTGCCAGCTGCGATGGGACCAGGTACTGCCCGAGCCCAGAGGAAGGTGTCACTGCGGCAGGGGCGCGGCGCCGAGCGGATCCGAAGAGGGAAGGAGGGGTTGGCTGGCCTTAAGCGGGTGGAGGCGGGGAAGGGCTTCCAGAGGCAGGAACGGCACATGCATGACAGTGAGGTGTGAGGTGCAGCTGGTGGGTCCCCATCACGGTGGCCGGGGGTTCGGAGCCTGCCAGTGGTGAGGGTCAGGGTGAGCCGCTGGGCAGCCCAGGGTCCCACTCCCTAGACCAACGTTCCCAACGTGTGGTCCCTGGAACAGCAGTGGCAGCACGTTAGAACTTGTGAGAAAAGCACATTCGCAGGCCCCTGTCTGGGGGTGACCCAGAAGTTTGTCTTTCAACGAGTCCGCCAGGTGATGGGGATGCACGCTGAAGTTTGGAAGCACCTCACCCGGCTGCCTCCTGAAGGCGGTGAGGGGCCCTGCTCGGGCTGTAAATGGAGCGGGGAGAGCTGAGCTTCATCCCATCACTGCAGCAGACTGGTGAGGGGCTCCTGAAAGGTCCTCACTAAAATGTAGTCCCATGTGGACCCCCTGCCCCCCAGCTGGACAGCTGTGTGTGCCAGAACAATCTAGCTTCACCTGTGAGAGGGAAAGGGAGCCAGGCTGGGCAGAGCCTGTCACCCCGGGGAAGGGGCGGGGCCAAAAGAGGGTCAAGAAAGGGGGGCTGGTTATCATGGCAACCTCCCCTCAGGTGAGACAGAGTAAAGGAAGGCGGCTGGCTGTCCCCACCCCCATTCCCAGGAAGGAGTCCCACGGATCCCCCAGATCTAAGTCCTCCCCTGACCACATCCAACTCATCGGGCTCTTCTAAGTCCATTTGGGCCCCAGGTGGCAGTTTCCTCCCAAAGAAGCCACACCCTCCTGGCCACGGGCTAAGGGCTGGGGGCTGTCTCCTTGGCGACAGCTGGGCTTCTGTATCCATGGTGACCTTCTCAAGAGGGCTGACCCTCAGCCGCCAGGCGCTCCTTCCTCTGCCACAGCTGGTTTAGGAGCAGTGACCCAGAGCAGGGAAGGGCTCTCCTGCCCCCTCTCAGTTGGCACAGGAGGTGAGAAGGTGGAACATGAGATGCGGAACACAGGGAACAGCTTTTCAAGGAAGCTCAGAACCACTCAGACCTAGCTTGCAGGTGAGGGGAGAGCAAGCCGCGCCCTCAAACCTGGCAAAGCACAAAGTAGGAGGTTTCAGGGTGTGGTACCTGCTGCAACTCTGGGTTCTCTTGGGCAGGCTTTGGCACTTTTCAAGCCTCAGTTTCCTTACTTGCACCCAGGAGACAACATCAGTACCTACCTCTAGGATTCCCGCAAGATACAGTGAGGAAATGCATCGAAGTGAGAAGCGTGGGGCCTGGCACCTCCCTGCAGCTAGTCTTCCTGTCCCTTAGGGAGGATGCCCACCCACTCCTGCGTGGCCTCTCCACTGGTGGGACACGTGGTAGGGAACAATAGTGGCTCTGGGGTCAGAAATACTCCCTAAACATTGCCAGCTGGGACTGTTATTACTATTAATCATCTGGCAATGAACGGAGCCCAGCCTGGTAAATTGCTTCCTCCAGGTAATTTACACTTCCTATTGTCTTTGCAATCTTCATTCACTACCAGCTGATACAGGAATGTTTTCTAGAAAGCAGGAGCCATGTTGGGCTTCATTTTCCTGAGTGCCTGGCCCAGTCCCTGGCAGGGAGCACCCAAGAAGCTCAGCATGGAAGGGACTTGGAAATCATCTCCCCTGACTTAGTATGCAAGGCAGAAAGCGCTCCTTCCCAGCCTTATCAAGCGCATGAACGCCTCCAGGGATGAGGTCCTTGTTCCCTGCCCATGGAGGATCTGTGCCCAGGACTCCAGGGAGGCTCCATGGGATGAGCAGGAGCTGAAAGGGCAGCTGCAGGAGTGGGGGGCTATGGGGAACTCCCGGGGCCACCCCCACACCCTGGCAGCCCCCACTTTCCCTCCCGCTGAGAGCTGATAATAGGAGTGGTTCTAATTATGCTCTAATTGCTTTCTTCCAGGCAGTTTCTCTGGAGCCAAGGAGTTCAGAGTTCATGAATAAATGAAGAGGGAGGAAGCGGGAAGGGATGTTTATTGATCCACAAATCTCTACGTGCCAGCGACTGCCCCACAAATGCTTGGGCGTGCAGCTGTGTGCAGTTTTGAATCCACACACATAAACACATCCACAGCCCCAACGTCTCTCCAAAGGTCTGTGTGCTGGGGGAGGGAGAGGTGTTGAAAGGAAGGTTACGAGCAGTGGTGTCCTAAATCGGCTTTGGGTCCCAGTCCCAACTCTGCCCTGACTTGCTTTGTTGTCCTGGGCAACTCCTAGCTTCCCCGGCTGTAGAGTGTGCAGGTGAAGGGGCTGTCCCACAGCCTCCTTAGAAAACCCACACTTGAGGGTGTTGGCGGGGTGGGGGATGGTGGGGGTGGGGATTCCTCCTGGGCTGAGCTGAGGGCTCTGTGGCTTCAGGTTGCCCTTTCTTCCAGATGCCTCGTTCCTGAAGAACCCACCAAATGTTCAGGGCCAAGTGGCAGGAAGCTCACCCACATCTCCATGCTGGAGGGAGAGCAGGTGGGGAAGAGCAGGGGCTCCGGACTTGACCTGCTCTGCCACTCACCAGCTTTGAGGCCCCGCGCAAGGCCCACCCTGGAGCCGCTTGCGCCTCAGTCACTTCATCTGCTGAACGGGAATGACAGACTTGGCGTCACGAACCTTCAGCGGGGCATGTAATGGCCTTAGCCGAGTGTCCGCGCGCAGCAAGCATTTGGTAAGTGGCAGTAGTTAATGCTAATATTGTCAACCATGCTGCAAGGCACAGGCCGGTACCTGAACTACAAATGAAGCCGCTAAGACAAGAGAGGGCAAGCACTGGCCCCAAACCCTGCATCACGTGGCAAGATGTGAGTCCAGGCCCATCTGGCTTTGAAGCCTCGGAGCGCCAGCCTTGCTTCTTCTGTCTGTCTGATCCATCTGGTCCCCAAGGGCTGGCACCTAGCAGGTGTCTATAATTATGTGCTGAATTTACAGAGAGATGAGGAAAGAAGCATAAAAACAGGCCCTGCTCCCAGTGACCAAGGCAGAGTGGGCAGAGGGAGGAAGAATGGACTGGTTTCCTTCAAGGTCAAAGCAAAGTGCTGGGTCCGAGGGATCCTGGGACTCACTGCCTCAGCAGCTGGGCAGAAGCCAAGTGGAGACAAGGGGATCCTTGGCATGTGCTTATTGGAGGAAGTCTTTTGACCCTTCCATCAGTTCCCCTAAGAAGTCAAAGTTGGGAATTCTGGCTCTGGTATCAGCTAGCCCCTGCTCTGCCGCGTCACACTGTGTGACTCTGGGTAAGGGACTTCAGCTCTCTGAGCCTCAGAACCCTCATCTAGGAGATGGGGATAAGAACTGCCCACCGCTCAGCTCCAGTGAGGGGGATTCTGGGGGACACGAGATGGCATATGTGAAGCCACATGTTAGAGGTTAAGACTGGGGGCCTGGAGTCACACTGCCTACGTTTGCACCCCAGCAATGCCCCTGATGGAACCACTGTAGCCTTAAATTCTGCTCCTGCAAAATGGGGACATCCCTCTGTGAAGGGGTGTAGTGGGCGTGACTACTCCAGTAAAGCAAAAGCACTCAGCAAACCTTCTCTATTAAGCTATGCCACCTGCAGTGACCCCGTGGCTCACTTCACATACGGGGAAAGAGCAAGGACTCCTCCAAGGTCACAGAGCCAGCTCAGGGCACAGCCAGCCTATGGGGAGCCAGTGGCAAGCAAGGTCCCTTGTCTAGTCATCCACTTGAATGGATCTTTCCCAGCACCTGGGCCATCCTGTTCAAGACTTGAGGACAGGGACAGCAGGGTGGGGTTGGCCAGGAAGGGGGCTGAAGTTGCCCTCCCCTGTCCTCCCCCATGTCTCCATGGATGCTTGAACCAGTAGGGTGTCAGAGGGCAGGGAGGGTTGACCTGCCTTCCTGGCCCACCTGGACGGCCCCTCTACTCCTGGCTGCAGAGGCCTCAGAAACAACCCCGGGGCCCGGACAGAACACCATTTGTCAGCCCTGCGTGGTGGTGGCGGGCTCATCTCCATGGCAACGGTGCAGTGTGAAGGCATCCTGGCATCATTAGGGAGCGCGCCGAGTAGTATAAACAGAGGCTGCAGTAGATTACACGCCTATTATGAGCAGTCTCGGGCTCTGAGCACTGGTAATTATGCCTAATTGTGCATTTAATTGTGTAATTGAAAACCCACATCTATGGTTCAGGCTGGGGCTGCAGAATTTACTCCCCCCCCACCAAAAAAAAAGAGGCTTAGGAGTCATTCCTAACTAGGAAATCCCAGGGTTGCCTGGCTTCTAGGGGAAGGGGTAGCCAGAGTGGACACATGGGGGTGCAGTGCCTACAGACTAGGCTCCCGTTTTCCCCACTTCCTGTGCCAGGGCTCAGTCACACTCTGTGACTTGGGATGGGGGTTGGAGGTAAGGAGTGTGTTTAAGGCAAAGGGGCATAGTTATCGCACAAAAATGTCTACAGTTGGGCCTCCCTGGTGGCGCAAGGGGTTAAGACACAGCCTATAAAGCTATCTGCAGCCTCTGCAGCACGAGTTTGATCCCTGGCCAGGGAGCTACCCACATGGCACAGCAGACCTCTCCTGTCTCACCTGTTCTGTTCCCCTCTCTGTCTCTGGTGAATCCTCTCACCCCCCAAACTTCTGGCCTGTACCCCAGTTCTTGTATGCATAAAGCTTTAAAAAAATGAAGGAAAAAAAGAAATGTCCACAATTTCTACTCCTTATAACAGATCTCATTTTGTACTACTGGCTGTCTGGTTAGGACCTGGAACTAGCACACAGTACCCAGAGGCTAGGTCCCTATAGCCACCATGCACTCAAGTGGGCACCCAACCTACATAGACATTCCTCATCAAAGCTGGGGACAGGGACTCACCACCGCCCGATTGTCAGTACACACACACACACACACACTCACACACACACGTTTTGGATGGGAGAAAATGAGGCCCAGAGTCAGCTCAGGTTGCACAGCAAGTGACACCAGAACTCTGGGATTCTGACTTGCAGCTGAGGGCCTATTTTGTACCCCAAGGTGACTCAGGACCTAGAATCGTGTCCAGCACTTTCCGGGTGCTTCCTAATATTTGGTGAATGTAACTCTGGGCAAAGGGAGTTAGCTGGTGGCAATTCTTACTTTCTGAACCCACAGTAGTCTTTCTGGAGCTCAGGAAGCTCACCTGGGAGCTGGGGGGCGGGGAGTGATGACTGAACACTTCCCAATTCTACAGTCTGAGACTTGATTTTACAACCAAATATATCATCTGGGTGTTTGGGATGGGGACACTAGGGACATTCATACAAAACAGACAGAAGAAAGAAGAGGTCATCCGAGTCCCTGACAACCGGACATGCAGGCTTAAAGCCTTGCATGGGGGCCCGGAGGTGGAGTCCTCCCCTCCCCAGAGCCTGGTACCCCCATCAATCACCGCTACCTGGGGCAACGTGGTCCACTATGGCAGCAGCTCTGACCTCCACCGGGGTAGGTGAACTCCCTGAGGACCCAGAGGCTGAGGGGTCTTTTGAGATGATGAGTCCAATCTTTTTTTTTTTTTTTAAAAAGATTTATTTATGCATACAAGAGCTGGGGTGCAGGCCAGAGATGTGGGGAGTGAGAGGATTCACCAGAGACAGAGTGGGGAGCAGAACAGGCAGATTTACTGAAAACACTGCTGAGGGGAGCAGCGGGTGAGACAGGAGAGGTCTGCTGCACCAGGTGGGTCACCTCCCTGGCTGGGGATCGAACTCATGCTGCAGTGGCCTTCATAGTGCTGCGTCTTAACCCCTTGTACCACCAGGGAGAACCCTGATGAGTCCAACCTTGACAGAGAGGGGCGGAGAGGGTCAAACATTGCCCTCTGATTGCCTCTGAGTGAGCACTGGGCTCTGTGTCCAGAACTGTCCCTGCATTATCTCAGGTCTCTAGTTCCACGAGGTGGGAGCTATTATCCCAACTTAAAGAGAAGATCAAGACCCAGTAAGGCGAAGGCCAAGGCCAAGCCCTGCTCTACCGGGGCGCCCACTGGGTATGAAAGGGTATGTCCCATTTCCTATCAGCAGCATCCAGATTCCCAGAACCTGCTGTCTCATTTCCAGGGTCTTTGAGAACACAACCTTCCTGAGTTCCTGCTCTGCATATTTTATCTCAAAGGACACCTCTCTGCTCTGAGGCCGATGATTATTATCCTGATTTACAGAAGTGTAGGTGAAAGCTCAGAGAGGTTAAGTGTATCCTCAAGGTCACCCAGCTGCAAAGATTCTGAGATGAAACTCAACCCCCAGGCTGACCCCAAAGCCCAAGCTCTTGGCAGTCAACCTCCCTATCTCTGGATTTGCCAGCTGCTTTGCGAGGCAGAGGACGTAGGCCAGGGCAACCCATTAAAGTCACAGCAAATAGCAGCTTCTGGAAGACCCTGCCACAGGCAGCCATGTGATTCAGGTTGCCTGTCTCGCTGCTCAGGGCTCTCCCTCAGCCTCAGAATCACCATCCTTCTCCATTTCCAGGTCAAGGGCTTGGATTGGGCTCCCCTGGACCAAAGCCAGCCCCACGCCCATAACTCTGCACCCCATGTCCTGAACAAACTTTTATTTATTATTTGTAATTTTTGAACAAACTTTCCAACACACCTGTCTGGTCTCAGCCTGCTCTCCCATCACCCATTTCTCCATGAATCTAGAGAGAAGCGACTACAGCGATGACAGCTGACCATGTTGGCCAGATTTTATCATCATTCTCAAATCCTTTCCTTATGATCATCATCTGAGGCCTAGACTGTATCTTCGGTTTCCTTGACTTCAAATCACTTCATCCTTCTGAGACCCACTCTGCCATCACCAGTAAATGGGTGTAAGTAAATCCCTATCTCAAAGAGTTACTAGGAGGCCTATGTCCACCATCTAGGCTAAAATCTCAAATCCAGGCAGAGATAAGGGTTGAAACTATTTGTCCAAGTCTCAGGGCAAATAACAGCTTGCCCTACAGGACACCATCTCATGAAGTGCCTCAAAGTGCCACAGGATAAAAGTTGTTGTTCTGACTACTTTATAGGAGAGAAACACAGGCTCAGAGAGGGCAAGAGACTTTTATGGAAGTTGCAAAGCAAAACAGCAATGTCTGATCTCAAAGGTAAGGCTCCTAAGTGCTGTGCCAGATCTTAGAGCAGCTGCCTTTGATGGGGCACTGATGTTAAAGCACCCCCTTGCCATGCAAAGGAGCAGAACCAACCCCCTCACAGCTTCCTGGAGGCCCCTTTCTCCATTCCACCTTGCTCTGCTCACCCCATGAGAGCCTTGCAGGCTGTTTAACCTCAGTCTGTCCATCTGCAAAAGGAGTTGACCACGCCATCCCCCACCATGTCCAAAGGAGTCAGTAGCTGGCCAATATTGTGCTTGTGACTCTGAAGCCAGGCCCAAGAACCTGAAGCACCCAGAGCAGAGCCAGACCCTCCCCAGGAGGCTATGAGCCTGCAGCTGCAGCTGCTTGAGAGCACAGGCCCCGCAGGAGCCCATCTCCCCCAGCCTTCACCATCACTATCACTAATAACGACATCAATCAGGTTGACCATGTTTCACACCATTACTGGCAGCTCAGCAGGAAGCTACATATTTCCCCCCTCACCCACCACCTTCCAGAAAACAAAAGCACTTTCCAGAAAGGAAAAGAAGGCAATCAACGTTTTTCTGAGTACCTACTATGTGTGTGACATTTGAGTCAGCCCTTTTATCTGCAGGTAGGGCTAACTCTCTTGATAGCGAAGAAAGGAGGGCCCAGTGGAGCAAAAGCCAGTGCCCAAGGTCACGCAGCTGGCACAGCAGCAGCTGACCGTAGTGTAGGTGGTACAGGGGGTTCACCGAGCACTGTGCACAATCCGACTGAAACATCACTTTCGTTATCAGATGAGAAAACGGAATCTCAGTAAAGAGGACTGTCTGAAGTCAGCGCTGCTTAGGCAAGAGCAGCAGAGTGGCACCGCGCAGGGGGCGGCTCTGAAGGCAGAGGAGGGTGTGCGTCCTGGTTGCCACTGACTGACTTTGCGATTGTGGGCAAGACACCACCTTTCTGGGCCTCAATCTCTGCATCTGAAAAAAGGGATAATAAAACCCCTATCCCATTACATGGGAGAACACCAGGAAGGATAAAAAAGGCAGAAGAGCTAACGTTTATAGATCGTTTAACATGTACCAGGCACTTTGCCAAGCACTTTACATATGTAAGCTCATTTGGTTAAATGAGGTAATGCATATAAGTGCTTAGCACAGGACTCCAGAAATGGGAGTGATAACAATGATGATGAAGAAATTGATAATGACTCCCTTGGGCAAATCTCCCCGGTTCATCCTCTTACAGGAAGAAGAGAGTGGCCTGTTAGGTTTCAGGAAGGAGGTGGACCAAGTAAGAAGGGCAGGGTTTGGACAGGAGAGGGAAACGGAAACACATAAAAATTATAGAGTGAACAGCATTAACGATGTCAAGACGACACAGCATGTAGAAAGCGAGAAAGCAAGAGGCCTATGACAGTCTGCAGAATGGAACCAGACCAGAGATGCTGAAATCTCTAGGCCAGTCCAGATTCTACCCGAAAGTCCCAGAATTGGCTGGACCCTAAGGATACTTCCCATTTTACAGATGGAAAAGCCAAGGTTTGATAAGGGGGACAGTCTCGCCCAAGCTCACAAGATGTCTGTGGCAGAGTTGAGCTTGAATTCCTGGCATCCTGCCTCTCAAGCCCCACCTCCCCACTGCTTCCCACACAGCAAGAGTCCAGGGAGGTGCCCGGATGTGTCATGGTATACATCTTTAAGATAATAACAACAAAAAGATAGACTTTACTGAGTGTTCGCTCTGTGCTGAATTTGTTTCCTCTGTTTCATCCTCACAATGAGCCTAAGAACTGGGAACTATTTAGCTCTCTTTAATAGATGACAAAGCTGGGACTCAGAAAAGGTAAGCAATTCACCTAATTCACCTAGGAAGTGACAGAGCCAGGACTCGTACCTGGGTCTGTCCAGACCCTTGTCCCTCCACTTGCCCACCTCAGCGGTACAGTTTCCCACCTGCTCCTCCCACTCTCACACCCTGTCCCCTCCCCGAAAGCAAATCTATCCCAACTACAGGAGAGTGTGCAAGACTGGCTTTTTTTTTTTTTATTATAATGATTAACCCATACACAAAAAAGAAAAAGGACACAGTTCCTCTTCTAAAGTTTTCAGCTGAGGCATCTATAGCAGCCTCTTCCTTGTCTGCCTCTTTCCAATGGATGAGAAAACTGAGGCTCCTTTCTCCCTGAGCTGGTGTCAGGCTGGTAAATTCCAGCATTCAGGAGCACATTATGGAAGCTGCCAGGCGGCCGGGACTCCTGGGGGTTAGTGACAGCTGAAGGGACCCACACCGCAATCAGTCCAGACAGACAAGGGAACAACAGAGCCAAGAGACCAATTTTCAAGTCCCTTCTGGAAGTATCGCATGTAGTAATTCTCACAAGCTGCCCAAAGTCACCAGCCAACATGAAGGAGAATCAGAATCCCAGCCTGATGCTGCCTAGCCCGACTCCCTAGCGCTGGAAAGACCCTCCAGGCCGAAGGGTGGCTTTAGCTGAGCTGGGGAGAGTGATGGGGGGGGGTGAGGGGGAGGCAGGGGGACTACCTCTGCCACCTGCATCTCTCTCTAGAGCAGTAAATACCTCCCAAGGGACCCCTGACTTATCAGGACCAAAATGACTCACTTCACAATCAAGAAGGCAACAGAGGGTGCTGGTCAGTTGCCTGGATTCAAAGCCTGGCTTCTAACTAAAAATTTGGGCAAGCTGCTTTCTAGGATCATTAGGAGGATTAAGTGAATTAATACATGGGCAAGCACTTGCAAGGGACCTCACACCAGGTCAGCGTTCCCCGGCACTGACCATTATCATCATCGTCATCAAGAGAAATAAGGGGCAAGCTACTAACAGTGCCTACCTTTGGGGTGTGGAGCTGGGCAGAGAGAAGAAAGAACTTACCTTTATCTTCTGCTCTGTTTGATTATTTATTTGATAGTTTCATTTTTTACAGTAGGTTCAATTAAAAAATTAACATAGAAAAAAAAAAGTCCTCTGAAAAGTTTCCTCATTTCTTGGCATCTTATGTTTCTCCAAGTAGATAAAGAAGAGGGTTTCCACGGAGCCAGGAGTTGCCAAACAACCGATTCATTCATCTATTTTACAAATATTAATGGAGTGCCAGGCACTGTTCCAGCTGCTGGGGATTTAGCAAGGAACAAAACAGATAATCTCTGCCCTTCTGGAGTTTCCATTCTACCTGATCTTAATTAATCCCCTTTGCAGCCCTCAAGGATGAGCAATTTACAGATAGGCAGCCCAAGGTGGCCGGGTGAGGGGAAGTCATGTGGCTGGCATCCCACAGCTGGGAGTGGGGCATCCATCTTCAGAGCCCCAGCTGTTTCTACCACATCCAAGAGGCGGGTCTGGGGATAGCAGGTTTGGGGTTGTTGTTGCAAGAGGAGGGAAGCAACATGAATAAAGAAAGTCTCCATATCCAGCCCCAAGGCCCCACTCTGCGAAGGTGGCCACCTATGAGGGAGGAGGGCCTATGGATGCAGGTGACTCAGATCATGGAGTACAGATTATTGAGGTGCAGACACCCCCCAACTCGCACTCAGACCCAGATGTGCCATGGAGGCCCCCACATGCCTCTGCGGGCAGGAGCAGCACAGCTTCCAGCCCCCTAGTTTTGAAGTTTGGGCCTCAACTCTAGGGTGGGCAGGAACTCCCGCAGGGAATCTTTAACTACCCTCCCAAGTCCACCTGCCAGGGCCTGACTGGAGGGCAGAGCTGGTCCCCTTCAGTCCCCAATTCACACCACTGGCTTCCCTGAGACAATAACCAGGTTGCCTAGCCTGAGATTAAGCACAGCTTTCAAATTCTCCCATTCTCCCCAGGGCACCCAAGCACCCCACTCCTCGGGTGCCTGCCCGGGCGGAGGTGCCCGACCCCACCCCCGACGCTCTGCTGGAACTGATGGCTGTGGAGCGCCCATGGTCACAGTGGGCCGAGTCAAAGCGGGGGGCGGGGGCGGACGGGACCTGCTAGTTCGGGCGACCCTCTCCGGGGAGGAGGCGCTCCCTTGCAGGCCTGCCCGGTCACGAGGGTGAAGGAAGGCAGAAACAGCACAAAGGAGGCGTGAACCGCTCCTAGAGTCTAAGATCCCAGCGCACACTGAACACGAACCAGACATGGCCAGAGAGCTAGAGGCACACCAGGGAGGCACCGCGGGCGCGGAGACTTTGCGCGAAGCACACCGCTCACCCGCGCGGGCGGAGGCGGACCCAGACCCACGCCAGCGAGCGGCCGGAGGAACACACAGGGCAGGGAGCGCGACCCCGGCCCAGCGAGCCCCGGTCCCACAGCGCACCCCGACAGGAGGCTGCTCCTCCAGGGCCGGCCGGGCGCGCGGGGCCCCAGGCAGCGGGCGGGCGGGGGACGCGCGCACAGGACGCGCTCGGGGACCGGGAGCGCCGGGCTCGGCGGCGAGGAGCGCACACAAAGAGACAGCCCGGCCGGCGGGAGCAGGCTCCGCCCGTCCGCTCCGTGACTCCAGACCAGCCCGCAGCGGGGCACTCGCGCCAGACCCACACCCAGAGACACCGCACCCCGCGCCCGGACCCGCCCCGCCGCGCCCCACCCTGCGCGGGCGGCCCGCGCGCGGCGCTCACCAGCTGCAGGCAGCAGAAGGCGACCAGGGTGCAGCGCCCGCTGCACTTGCCCATGGCTCCGGGGCCGCGCGGGCCGTCCTCCGCCGCGCCCCTCTAGCTCCGCGGCCGCCGCCTCCGCACCGCGCGGGCTCCGCGTCCTCCCGGCGGGGCGCCCCGGGCAGCGGGGCCGGGCGCCTAGGGCCGGGCCCGGGAGTGCCGGGTCCCCAGGGCCGGGGCCGGCCGCCCGCGCTCCGAGTCCATGGTCCGTCCGCCCGCGCGCCGGCTCCGCCGCGCCGCGCCTCCTTTGTCTGGCCGGCCGGCCGCCAGGCGCGCCTCCTGCCCCGGGGCGGCGCGCGGGGAGCGGGGGGCGCGGGCACCGAGCTCCGCGCAGCGCGGCGCAGCACTGCCCAGCTGGGGCGGCCGCCCGGGCGCTCGGCGGCCGCGGCTTCCCTGCCCCACCACGTGGCTCCGCCACCGCCGAGAGGGAGGGAGGGGAGGGCAAGGCGGGGTGGGGCGGAGCAGCCGCGGGAGCCAAAGGGAGGGGAGAAGGGGTAGGGCGTGGAGGGGCGCAGCCCGGCGGGGAGTGGGAAGAGTTCAGGCTCGGGGGCGCACCGCCGCGGGTGAAGCCGGGCTCCACCGCTTCCGCTGTGTGACCTTGGGCAGATCGCCTCACTTCTCTGCGCCTGTTTCCATATTCACAAAGTAAGAAGAACAATGTCGGCTTCGGAGGTGCGGCGAAGAGGAAGCGCAGTTGCAGGAATGAAACGCTTCGCCCGTGCCGCGCCGCCGGAGGGCGCTGGAGCACCCCGGCACCCGGGCTCTTCGGGCCCAGGGTGCCAGCCTTGACCCTCTATTCCACTCCGGAGTCCGTCGCTCTTCCCAGCCGCCCTCCGAGTACCTGAACACATGCTCTTCCTTCTTTCCTTTTGACTCACTGAGCCCGAACTGCATACCCCTGGGGGCCCTGGGGTCCAGAGAGGACTCTGCGGCCTGTTCCAGAAGCCCTCGAGCATTGCCAGAGCCATGCGGGTGAGATGGGGGTTGGCAGAGGTGTGCCCAGGGGCCGGTGGCCAGCCACTCACCAGGCTGCCGAGGAGATGAAGGCGGAAAGGGCTCGCCAGCAGGAGACTGCCTTCTCCAAGCTGCCCCCTTGCCTCCCGCCAACTCCCCAACACATCCTAGATCCACTTATTAATGCCTGCCCCACTCCTCACTTCCTTTATCCATCCTGGTGATTA